TTCGCGCACATTCCGAAGCATTTCCGGAGTGATTCGATGGCATTCGTCGACGATTCTTTGACGCAAATCTTCCAGCGACGCTGGCTGTGTTTTATAGATTTTACTTTTTAGGTATCCCCACAAAAAGAAATCAAGGGGCGATAAATCCGGTGATCGTGGAGGCCACTCAATGCTGCCTCTTCTCCCAATCCAATTCCGTAGAAAACGTTGGTCCAAATACTGACGGACAATTAACGCATAATGCGGAGGAGCACCGTCCTGTTGAAAAATCAAATGATCTTCATCATACTCTGGAACATTTTCAATAATATCAGTCAAGGCAGGGTCAATAGCGTCTTCCAGTAATTGCAAATACATTTGGCCAGTCAAATTACCAGGTAGAAAAAAAGGACCCACCAGCCGGTCACCGAAAATTCCAGCCCATACATTTAATTTTTCCGGTTGCTGTGTATGCACCTCGTGAAAAACTCTTGGGTTTGAATCGGACCAATAGCGGCAATTGTGACGATTTACCGTCCCGTTCAAGAAAAAACTGCATTCATCAGAAAAACAGATGTTAAAAAGGAACTGTGGATCGTTCCCTGCTCGCTCACTCATTATTTCGCAAAATTGCAAACGGCGGTCATAATCATCCTCATGAAGTTCCTGGACTAAATGTATTTTGTATGGATGGAATTTATTCTTCTTCAAAATGGTTTGTATGCTAGTTCGATTGATCCCAGACACAGATGCCAGCTGCCTCGTACTTAATGTAGGATCAAGATGAACTTGTCCCAAAACTGCAACTTCACTAGCTTCATTAACTATAGGTTTTTCAATTTCTCGTTTTTTATTGGCTACGTTCCCTGTCTCTTGAAATTTTTTTACTAACTCTAGAACATACTTCCTCCTGACATGTCGATCTTGATGTTGTTCATTAAATAGCTGAGCTGTTCTATTCGCACATTTATTGTTCATAAAGTAAAGCGAAATGATATCTACACTTTCCGCAATGGAATAAACCATAGTGTTTAATTTTCAAAAACACAATTAAATAAACTACCAACCAACGCTTCTAAATAATACTAGAATATGATTTGGAATCCACTAATTTTACATTCATTGTGTGTGTATAGCATTCATTTCTGTTTTTTACAATTATGTTTTTTTACGAAAGTGATAACAAATCGTCAAAAATCATGTAACGTAAGAAATACTAAATTTATACCATTGGCGTACTTAACTCGAATGACTGACATTTTTACCGATACATTAGTAACTTATGTACAAACAATTTATATTTGTACATAAGTTTCAACTTTAAAATCAAATAAGTATTGGGCGGAATTATAAAATTTAAAGTCTGTTGTAAAGAGAATTGTAAGAGCTTTTAAAAGAAATATTACTGAACCCCCAATGCCATTTAAATATTTTGGGGTGATGCTTACCCTTGCTTGGGGGTGAAAGTGGCGGAGTCAAAAATACCAGCAAAGAATGTCCCCCTTTAATCTAAAATCGACGGGTCTGAGCGTTTTTCTACAATCTTCGCGCAGTTCTTGAAAATGGCTCTGTTTCGTTTTCATTTGGTCACCCTGTATATTTGAAACTAACAGAGAGGAAGGTACACTGTCTAATTGTCTAATTAAAAGATAATTTAATTATAACTATTCCACCGGAAAAGTCCTGCTTATTTTTCTGTGGGAAATAGGTGGACATATTTTGGTATACTTACTATTAGAAAAACATTTAATAGAACCTTATAAACGTACTTTTAAGAGATGCTGAGTCCAATAATGCGAAGCTGTTGTGTAGGACTTTAATCTAAAGACTAAACGTGTTTGTTTTTTAAACGCATCACACTACCTGAGATTCTTGCTCTAACTTTGCTCTTTCAGATTAGTATATCTAGAAATAAACTTTTTATGGACAAGATTTTGAAATGATTAATTTTAGAAACCAGTGAATGTCTAAAAATTCTCTCTATGATCTCATAAAATTGTTAGCTCAAACGTGATTAAAAATGAATGTTATTAATATGTATTAATACGTTCCAAATTATTTTTATTACTAGTATCACTCTTGTTAAGACTGTTGTTGTGTAACTTGGTAATCCATAACACTTAGTACTTATGACCTATTATGCATGCCGCCAATAAGGACAAGCACTACTAGCTCTTCTGCAATCTGCTCTAGAGATGATAGAAGTATTTCTCCTAGGTATTTATGTCTTTTCACGTTTAAACAAACACAGTGACAGATGATTTGTATTGTCTTCGTCTTGTGTGCTTAGTTCAATTTAACTGAAATCCTTGTGAAGTTATCCAAGACCTCTTACAAGTCCATGACAATCCTAACGTTGATTCTACTTAGCATGCTGATTTTCTGATTTTTCAACAGTCAACAGTCAATGGATCTTGTTAAATGACATGTTGGTTCTGGTAAATTGACTATTTGAGCCCTGCTTGGTCAGCATATCGGACCTTTCATTGACAGTTATATTCTTGTGATCAGAAACTTAAGTCAGATTTACACAATTTTTCTGCCTAGACCTGAACAAGTCATTGATGCACTCCGGTACTGTGCGGGTTGTGATTCCATGAGACAAGAGGACATGTCAGCCGCCTGTCTGTGCATATTTGACAATCTTCAGTAGGTACTATACTGTCCCTTTGATGTTTTTATGTGCGCAGATACCTCAGTTGAAAAACGATGGCATACTTCCCCAGAGAGTAAATAAAGATAAAAACTCTTTCTAGACGTGAGCTCTGTGTCACTGTCAGATATCTTCAAACAAATATCTTGTCATTAGCAACTACCATCAGGATCTTTACCTTACCACCGCTCCCACGGTTTTATCTGGTATGAGTGAGGTGTAGCTTTAGAAGTGACAGAAGAGCCTCCGTAGGAGCTTTACGTAACGCTCTCGTCGTGCTGACCTGTAGTATCTGTAATCCTAATCTGTTAAAACACTCTGTGACTTGTTGAATAGCATGCTAAAATATAACAAATGCATAACTGAAAGAAGACCTAATAACAGCAGTATCGCATTGTGTATTATTATTATTATTATTTGATGATTTGAGATTCTTTGTTAGTTGTCACTTTGGTACTTTATAGAATTAGATTACAAAGGTAATATCTATTGACTTCAAACAAGCTTGCGATAAAGAATAGTGCTAGAGTGTTCTGTTTTTGCCTTCGTAGCTTTCGAGAGACGTCAATATTTATATATTACTTTTTTTTTTAAATATATCGATGCGAAGAAAAATAATCGATTTTTTTCAGATTTGTAACTCAACTTGGGGACATGGGATAATTTTTTAAATAAAAAATCCCTAACATGTTTCTGAACAATGCAACCATTTAAAAAATTATAGCAAGCTAGGCATTCGTGGCAATCTGTTACACAAACATAAGCAGGAAAGTCTACGTGATTGGCACATTGCCGTAAAAACCATCTGCAAAAACGCATTCCTTGATCACTATCCAGGGGTAAAATCTGTTGAACTGGTTGCAGATGATGGGGGTGCAACAGCTGGCGCCTTAAGATGCGATGTACGGTGCGAGACGAGGTTCCTACTTGCTGTGCGAGTCGTCGAGTACTAATTGTGGGGTCTTCGTCAAGATTTTCCAACACTTCATTTTCAACATTAAGGTTCACTTGCTGATCACGTGCTTCTTCTTGAGGAATAACACTTCCCGTATCTCGCAGCCGCTGAACGCACTGTAGGATTTTATTTGCATATGGAGGGTGACGTTGTGACCATCTTTCCCAGTACAACCTAGTCGGCGCGACCGCATTTTCTCCGGCTGCACCATACACTAACACCCTATCGACACGTTGGGAAATAGTAAATGCATTGTTTTCTCGGTTCATTGTAAAATTAGTTTATGCACAAACAAACAAATTAAGCAAAGCAAGAAATAAGAATTTCGTTTTTAATGTAATCGGCATGTTATTCTTATTTTTTACTTCTTTATAAAAATTGCACTGTCACTATCGTGGAATTACAAAATAAAAACTTTTGTCTGGAATCTTTCATTTTTTAACACTGAAAGGTCGATGAACGATGCTTAATATTTAATAATTAAGTGAATAATGAATTCAATACAAATACAAAATCAGTTGGCTGCACAAATTTTTCACGATGTAACCTAACCTTCTTTTAGTATTACTAGTATTAGATTATACCGACTTAAATTATAAGGTTGCATTTCGGGTCGCATAAAAACATTTCCAAAGTTTTTAGTAAATAATACAGGGTCGGCCTTCATTTTCGTTGATTAAATGAACTTTAATTTACAAAAAAAAAAAGGGAAAATAGAACTCTTTGGTATAAGAGTTTTCTATTGCAAATATCATCAGGAAGCTGTAGTTTAATTTTTATAGATAATACACGCCACACCCTGTATAAACCTTGTTTTATCTCAATCTTAGGAGTCGTTCTCTATTATCTCTATAAAAATATGTTTTTGAAGTAACATTTTTATAACCCTATATTATTTTTTCTAAGCGCTTTTGGATAAATCTGTAGCAATTCTTTGCTAAAATAGCATTTATAGTTATCGTAATTTTAAAACACACTGTATCTTTTCTACCGAACTGATTGAACTAAATCTTCAAATGCAATGTGCCTGTCTAAAATCTTACTGATATTCTTCGAAAGTTTTACCATCACAACAGAAGTAGAATACCATTTTAATAATGCAACCCCAACTACAGAGGTCGATAATGGTACTCAATACACTAAATTAAAATTATATCTGTATGATATCTAGTTTTTTTATGTTAAAAGCATTAACACACAAAATATTTGTACATTAACACCGTTATTTGTAATTATTACAAAATAAATTATACAGGGTGTTTATAAGCTTGGCGAGTTCAAATATTTTGCAAGATCTTGGAAACTATTGATCACGTTTCTATAAAATCATATACGGGAGATGAAAAAAAAAATATATGAGACATCGATAACAATTTTGTGCAATCAATACCTAAATATTTCTCTTCTTTGCAGAATGGATGTCGGGGTGTTGCTTTTGGCAATCTTCTGTTCCAATATCCCACAAATCTTCGGCCATGGAAGACTGATAGAGCCCCCTAGTAGAGCATCTGCTTGGAGGTATGGTTTCGATACTCCCCATAATTACAACGACCATGAGTTATTTTGCGGGGGATTTACGAGGCAATGGGTGAAGAATGAAGGAAAATGTGGCGTCTGCGGAGACCCTTGGGATTCTAAGTACGTATATCAAAAATTCACATAACACCAACAGTAACATTTTCAATATTTTTTTGATAACGTTGTGACGTTTTGGAAAAGAACCGTTACTTCAAAGTCAATTAACAATGGAAAGTACACTAGCTTGAAGAGAATATATCAACAATTTCCACAAAAGAGTCATCCAAAAAGTATATGTGAGCATCGTATGAAATTTAAACTCTAATAGTTGCTAAAGAAAATTTTTGAAAGTCATACAAACAAGACTAATTTTACAATAAAAGTGAAGAAACAATTCAAATAATTTTCTGTGACATTTGCGGATTTACAGTGAATACTTGTGTGACATTTCATCGAGAAATATGGGATTTGCTGTTTACCAATTACTAGAAATCAGTCAATTTGCAATTTATTTACTTGCCTTAATAATTCATACTACTTGACTCGTTATTAGATGCTGCATTTATAAAATTTATCAGTAAAATTATTATCGTACCACCAACTTGTTGAGTAACCTTTAAATTAAGATTAGTATATTATAAATAAATACGGATTCGTCTACTTGATATACTTGAAATCTATAAAAAATGTAAAAAAAACAAATTAGAAAGTTATGTGTCTCAGCTAATTAAAAAAACAAACTATAGCTATCATATTTTTAATTCCTTTCCAAAATCCTCGTTATCATTGACCTTTAAATATCATGCTTCTGTTTTTTAATCAATTAATTTTGTTTACATTTGATATTTATTCAAATAGGATGAAGCATTCGCTTGTTCAAATATTGCTTTGTATAATAGGTGCATTATGCAATGTGATTTAAGTTTCTGATATAAAGCTTTATATACAGGGTGATTCATTAACAATGGGGAAATCGAAGGCCGAAGATACTACACGTGAAATGGTGACCATTGGCCAAACATGCCTTATCCGAAAGTTGATAGTTTCGGAAATACAGGGTGTTTAATGTTAAACTATTAAATCGTTTTTTGCGATTATTCTGAAAATATGTAGGTTAGAAACTTGAAACTATATTTTTATACGCGACGAATAAGATGCGTGTTGCAATTTCAGTGTTGCTCATACAGGGCGCCACTTACGACCAATTTTACCAAAAATTTAGTTAATAACTTTTTACTTTTTTACTCTTATTTCATTTCGGTATCTCGATTCGTTTTCGAGAAAAATAGATTTAACAAACACTATGTTTTGATAATACGAGAAATTAAAGGCGAAACAGTGTTTCTTCATGTTATTACAAGAATTAACAAATGAAATGCGTAATAATGATAATGATAAAGTAATTGTTCGAAGAATCCACCGTAGCACCGATACACTTTACGCAACGTTTTCTGAGAGATTTTATAGTTTGAAACAACATATTGGTATTGAGTCTTACTTCGTTTTCAGCGATTTGTATTCTTTGCCACAACTCTTCATGCGAACCAATAGATTCTTTGTAAACTATATTATCTTTCATTCGAGACCAAATAGAAAAATTAAGAGTACTGAAGTCCGGAGTTCTGGGTGGCCAAGCAAAAATGCTTCCACGGCTTGAAGAAGTTCTACTTTATTTAAGAAGAGACATGTGGTCCATGCACGACGGAGCTCCACAGCATTTTCTCGGCCAGTGCATGCATATTTAGATGCAATTTTTCCAAATTGCTGGATTGGCCCGTAACGAAGGCCCATACGACAAAGGTTTATATGAAGTGATGACATGGTTTTGACTTCATCAGTCACTTTAGAGGGTTCTTTTTACCATAAGTTGTGGACATCCTATGTAAAGAATTCGATCGTTGTCACCGATACAATGAATTGGTCTACTATTTTCAAATGGTATGAAAATAACCAAATCATCAGTACTACCGCATTGCAAATGTACAAATTTAAGTTTTTAAAAGTCTGTTCAGAAAATAATAAAACTTTTTTAATTACGAACTAATGGAGGTATTTAGTGATATCTCCTCTGTAACCACATATTATTGGATTTCTCATTTAGTTTTCGTGATATTGTTATTTGAGGTCAATGCGTTTAAGTGTTAGTGACGATTTTTGAAATGTGCGATTTTCTGGAACAACAATACAATTCGTGAAACTGGTGAAAACTTTCACGGAAACGTTTCAACTTTTGAAACAAGCTTACCGAGATGATGTCTTGATTCCTACGCAATGTTATGAATGGTTTTGACGATTTAAAATTGGTCGTCAATTAATTGAAGATGATCTTCGACCAGGAAGGCCTTCGACTTTAACTGATGACTCCCACGTTCTGAAAGTCACAGATCTTGTGCATGCAAATCGCCGATTCATATCACACTCATTGTCAGATTTGTTAATTCGTCAGTATTCTGCCAAAAAAATCAGATTACTGTCCTCTTTCAGCCTTCTTACTCGTTAGACCTGGTTCCTTGCGATTATTTCTTATTTCTGAAATTAAAATCAGTGCTGAAAACACGCCCTCTTCAGACTATTGATGACATCAAACCAAATTCTTCTCAAACTTTAAAGGCCATTTCAAGTGAAGCTATTCAGGATTGCTTCGCGAAATAGAAACACCGCTGGGAAAATTGTGTGAACAGAGGAGGGGCGTACTTTGAAGGAGACAAGGGCCAATAATGTATAAAATTAATAATAAAGTTTAAAAAATAAATTTAGGTTATTTTCTGAACAAACATCGTATACAGGGTGATTCACAAAGGGTGACTAAAAATTAAACCTCGTATTCTTTGGCGAATTTTAAGGCGAGTCTTTCGTATAAAATTTTTATCTGGGACGTTTCGTTAAAAAGATACAGGCTGTAAACTTTAATAATGTATTTAATGTTTTTAATTATTAATTTAAAAACTAGTAAGTGAAATAATTTGAAGTTGGGCAGGGTGAGTCAGTTTTTTGTAGACAAACTTTAACAGGAGATAGAACACATGTTTTTAAAATTAAAAGTTCCTATAAACTTATATCGTAGAAGGCTTCGTTTCCGAGATACAGGGTGTTGAATATAAATTTTTTTCTCGAATTTTCATTATAACTTATAAACGAATGCTTAGATTTTTTTCATGTTTGGGGGATGTTTAAAAACCTGTACAGTGGCGGAGTGGAGGGGGTGCTCAACCCCTTTCTTAAACAGAACTTCTACGCCAATGACTATTTTTTAAAAAACTGTTATTTTCATTTTCTACATACAGTTTAACAAAAATAATGTCCCTTCTTCTGTTTCGAAATTCATGTGCATTTTCAAGTTATTAAGATTTTTAGTGTTTGATGTGGTACTAAATTAAGTAATTTACTTATTATCAATTATTATCGGCTAAATATTTTAATTCTGTCAACGAAACCAACCTAAATATGTTTTGTTAAGGATTCTAAATAGCCGAAATATCTTATTCTTTATCTCTTTCCAATGTAGTCAAAATAAATATTTGTTATATCAAGCCATACTCAAATACAATACTTTTATAAGTTGAAATCTGTTTCGTACACTAATTTTAGTAATCCTTATTTATTTTGTGCTGCGTAAATGCTAATGTACTGCAACTAAATTACTAAAAAAAACATTGAATTAACATTGATGTTAATGTTTATGGAGAAAATTTTTGAATTTATAACAATATTTAATTAACAATTGTGGAATTAATAACAATTTTTAGCAATAACGATTTATATATAACAATTACAACAATTAATAACAATAACACTAGTATAATAAAATTAGACACTTTGTTCAAAATGTAAACCGTTCTTTTCAATACACATTTAACAGCGACGTACAATAGAACGTCTTAAGTTAACTAAATGATGCTCCCTTATTTCATTGCAAGCATCTCTGATGCGATTGTGAAGTTCTTCAATTGTATTAATCGAAGTGATATACACTTTTTCCTTAATGAATAACTACACAAAAAAGTCAAGTGGCGTTAAATCGGGGGATCTGGGAGGCCACGCCACTGGACCTCCACGACCTATGCACCTCCCCGGATAGTTATTGTTTAGCCAATCTCTTACATTTCTGCCATAATGGGCCGGGCAACCATCAAGCTGAATACAAGACTGTCCTCTTAAATTCAAAGGAATGTTTTCCCACATATTACCATGCTCTTCTTCTAAAAATTGTAGGAAATTGGTACATACACAAGTTTAATAACACTTAAAGAAACTTCTTAAAACTTTTTGGCAACTGCACAATAATGTATTGTATGTATGTAATGTAACAGATTTCAACTTATAAAAGTCTTGTATTTGAGTATGGCTTGACATAACAAATATTTATTTTGACTACATTGGAAAGAGATAAAGAATAAGAGATTTCGGCTTTTTAGAATCCTTAACAAGCCATATTTAGGTAGGTTTCGTTGAAAGAATTAAATATTTAGCCGATAATTGATAATAAATAAATTACTTAATTTAGTACCACATCAAACACTAAAAATCAATATAACTCGGAAACGCACAAGAATTTCGAAACAGAAGTGACATTATTTTTGTTAAACTGTATGTAGATAATGAAAATAACAGTTTTTTTAAAAAATAGTCATTGTCGTAGAAGTTCTGTTTAAGAAAGAGGTTGAGCACCCCCTCCATTCCGCCACTGTGCAAGTTTTTGAACATTCTTATCGCTTGTTTTATGCCCCTTAATTAATAGACATTATCCCCCAAACATGAAAAAAATCTAAGCATTCGTTTATAAGTTATAATGAAAATTCGAGAAAAAAAATATATATTCAACACCCTGTATCTCGGAAATGAAGCCTTCTACGGCATATGTTTATAGGAACTTTTCTTTTTAAAAACATGTGTTCTATCTCCTGTTAAAGTTTGTCTACAAAAAACTGACTCACCCTATGTATGTAAACATTGTCTAAAATCTGAGGCCTTTTCCTAAAATTTAGATGCTCCAGTGGCGGAGATACAGGGTATCGGTGGCATATTTTTCTAAATAAAATAGTACGCCACTTCTTTACAATCATTATATTTTCGGATTCGTCTTCCAATTTTCTACAAATTACTACTCTCTTATGTTTTTCGAAAAAGCCTGAGTTTCGAGCAAAACTTAAAATAAGAATTGAACACTTTTACTTGACACGACAAACATTAATCATTCGGTTATTTATTCGAATAAAGAAATTAATAACATTAGTCATCATTTTAATAATTTTATTTGAGTAAATGCTCAAATATCTATACCCCCATTTCCACGAACACAGGCGCGACATCTTTTTGTTAACGAAAATGTATAATTTTTTCGAAATTTATTGTTGCTTCAATCTGATGAAAAGCATTATTTATTCGGCATTTTATTCGAATATCGAAGTGTGTTGTCAGTTTGTTTTATTCGAAAATTATGCTTTTTTCGAAGAACATAAGGGGGTAGTCATTTTTAGACAACTGAAAGACGAATCCGAAAATATCATGATTATTACCGTAAAGCAGTGGCGTACTATTTTATTTAGAAAAATATGCCACCGATACCCTGTATCTCCGCTACTGGAGCATCTAAATAGGAAACGACCTCAGATTTTGGACAATGGTTACATAAACACCCATTTAAAATTGTTTTAATTACCTACTAATGTCTAAATTATTTAAAAGAAAATTAATATTTTTTTAAATTTAATATCCTGTATCTTTTTAACGCAACGTCCTAGATAAAAACTTTATCCGAAAGACTCCTCTTAAAATTCAGCAAAGAATACGAGGTTTCATTTTTGGTCACCGTTTATGAATCACCCTGTATAACTAGTATAAATTGTTATTATGAACAACTAATATCATAATATTGTGATATTCGAGGCTAGTACAAAATGATTGTTGTTATGGTCTTTATAACANCTTTCAATTTTCTACAAATTACTACTCTCTTATGTTTTTCGAAAAAAGCCTGAGTTTCGAGCAAAACTTAAAAAACGAATTGAAAACACTTTTACTTAAATAACATGACAAACATTAATCATTCGGTTATTTATTCGAATAAAGAAATTAATAAGATTAGTCATCATTTTAATAATTTTATTTGAGTAAATGCTCAAATATCTATACACCCATTTCCACGAACACAGGCGCGACATCTTTTTGTTAACGAAAATGTAATTTGTTCGAAATTTATTGTTGCTTCAATCTGATGAAAAGCATTATTTATTCGACATTTTATTCGAATATCGAAGTGTGTTTTCAGTTTGTTTTATTCGAAAATTATGCTTTTTTCGAAGAACATAAGGGGGTAGTCATTTTTAGACAACTGAAAGACGAATCCGAAAATATATATATATATCACCCTGTATAACTAGTATAAATTGTTATTATGAACAACTAATACATAATATTGTGATATTCGAGGCTAGTACAAAATGATCGTTGTTATGGTCTTTATAACATAAATAACTATTTTAGTAGTCTACTGATAAATAATTCTTCACAGCATGGTTATATNATCACCCTGTATAACTAGTATAAATTGTTATTATGAACAACTAATACATAATATTGTGATATTCGAGGCTAGTACAAAATGATCGTTGTTATGGTCTTTATAACATAAATAACTATTTTAGTAGTCTACTGATAAATAATTCTTCACAGCATGGTTATATTTGATTTTTTTTCTTATTTCAATAACTTGCAGGTTACCAAGGGCACACGAATATGGAGGAACCTACGGTCAAGGCATCGTCGTGAGAAAATATTCCACCGGCAGCATTATCAACATCAGAGTGGAACTTACTGCGAATCACTACGGCTACTTCGAGTTCTCCTTGTGCCCCAACTACAAGGCACCCACCCAGGAATGTCTGAGTAAGAATATTCTCAAGCTTGTCAGACCGCAGGAAGACGTCGACCATAAGAATGTGAGGTACTTCCCCAAAGAAGGAAACAAGGTTTATGAAATGAAGTACAGACTACCCAAGAACAGTTGCGAGCACTGTCTTCTTCAGTGGAGGTATATTGCTGGTAAGTTTAATAAGAATTTTTTGAATAAATAAAAATGGAAACATGGTACTAAAAGAACTGAAAATAAAAAAATGAAGCAAAAATAAATAAAAATAAAATAAAAAACGCTTATTGAAAGATAGAAAGCAGAAAGAAAAAACATTAAAAATTAAACAAAAAAGACAAAATAAAAACAAAGAAAAAATAAAAATTAGATAAATTAAACTAAAAATTAAAAACTGAAAGTCGTAACTAAAAATTAATTTCCTTGTATTGATATAACTATTTCGTGTGGTTGATCTTTTTAGTCTAATAAGGAAGGTTGATAAAGGAAATATAAATACTTGATTTAAGTGAAAAAAATTAGGAGGTGGTTCTATTAATAAAAATATTGATATCTGCAAGTTCTTATAACTTTTTTTGAAAACTCAGTATTAGCGGTGTTACATAACCTTGAAATAGTTTCTTAAAATTAACATTGTACCATTTCAATAGTTTGTGATAGTTTTGTAAAATTGTGAAAAGCTATTGCAAATAAAATAAAGTAAAAATGAGAAAAAACGTATTTGTAACTGATCAGTGTATCTGAAACGATTGTGGCTATGAATATTTTACATGCGTTAGGTTGGAATGAGTTTTTCCAGATTTTTCTCCAGAACATCCAAATCTTTTTTTTCAATTGAAAACAGTCATTTGAGATATTAACATCCCGGGGGCATAAAGATCCAAATAAAAAAATCAACCAAATATGTCGTTCCTATGGTCAGTTATGAAAGTGCGTACAAAAATTATGATTTTTGCATTTTTTTTAATTTTCTGACTTTCCTTTAAAATTGTCCCGAATTATACTGAAAACTTTTCTAGAACGATAACGAACAAAACAAAAATGAATTACGCATATCCATCGTTCGAATCGTGAATTAATCTTGAGTTCATACAAAAATCTAATAAAAAAAGCACTTTCAGTTTCCCCCAATTTTTCGGGCAACTTTTCCAATTTTTCTTTCCCTAAAAACCTTATTAAGACTATTACGAACATTAAAAAAAATAGCAAATCGGTCCAATCGTTCTCAAGTGATGCGCTTACTAACGAACAGCATTTAATTTTTATTTATAAAGATGTATTATACAGGGTGTCCGGAAATTATGCGTCTAGACTTCAGGAGGCGATTCCCCACAAAAATTAGTGTCACAAAGTCCTATAACAATTTTTCGAAAACTCAATATTAACAGAGATACAGGGTGTCAAAAAAATTTTTTTTTTAGTTTTTCTTAGATAACTTTTTTATTTGTGATTTGATTTTTTCCAAGTCTTTCCTATGTATTACTAGTGCCCTTGTAGATTTATGTTCCAAATATGATGCAAATACTCCGGTACCAAACGGCCTAACCTGACCTTAATCTTCGATCTATGGCCCACAACTTTTTTGTTTTCACCGCTTTATAAATTTGAACAGCACCATGTTAAANCATTTTTAGACAACTGAAAGACGAATCCGAAAATATATATATATATCACCCTGTATAACTAGTATAAATTGTTATTATGAACAACTAATACATAATATTGTGATATTCGAGGCTAGTACAAAATGATCGTTGTTATGGTCTTTATAACATAAATAACTATTTTAGTAGTCTACTGATAAATAATTCTTCACAGCATGGTTATATTTGATTTTTTTTCTTATTTCAATAACTTGCAGGTTACCAAGGGCACACGAATATGGAGGAACCTACGGTCAAGGCATCGTCGTGAGAAAATATTCCACCGGCAGCATTATCAACATCAGAGTGGAACTTACTGCGAATCACTACGGCTACTTCGAGTTCTCCTTGTGCCCCAACTACAAGGCACCCACCCAGGAATGTCTGAGTAAGAATATTCTCAAGCTTGTCAGACCGCAGGAAGACGTCGACCATAAGAATGTGAGGTACTTCCCCAAAGAAGGAAACAAGGTTTATGAAATGAAGTACAGACTACCCAAGAACAGTTGCGAGCACTGTCTTCTTCAGTGGAGGTATATTGCTGGTAAGTTTAATAAGAATTTTTTGAATAAATAAAAATGGAAACATGGTACTAAAATAACTGAAAATAAAAAAAATGAAGCAAAAATAAATAAAAATAAAATAAAAAACGGTTATCGAAAGATAGAAAGTAGAAAGGAAAAAATTTAGAATTTAGAAAAAAATAACAAAATAAAAACAGAGTCGAAAAAATTAAAATTAGATAAATTAAACGAAAAATTAAAAACTGAAAGCTCGTATCTAAAAATTAAGCTATTTTTTTATTTTCTTGTATTGATATACTTAACTATTTAGTGAAGTTGATCTTTCCAGTTTAAGAATGGATGACAAAGGAAATATAAATACTTGACTAAGGAGCAAGAAATTAGGAGGTGGTTTTATTAATAAAAATATTGATACTATCTGCAAGTTCTTATAACTTTTTTTGAAAACTCAGTATTAGCGGTGTTACATAACCTTGTTGGTAATTGTTTCTTATAATTAACTTTGTACCATTTCAATAAATTTGTTTGTGATGGTTTGTAAAACTACAGACAAAATAGCTATCGCCACGCTATATTGTCTGTGCTAAAACTCTGAAAAGCTATTGCAAAGAAAATGTGACTATGGATATTTTACATACGTTAGGTTGAAAAGAGTTTTTCCAGATCTTTCTCCAGAACATCCAAATCTTTTTGTTTTCAATTGAAAACAGTCAATTGAGATATTATCATTCCAAAGGCATAACGAACCAAATAAAAAAAATCAACCGAATATGTCGTTCATATCGTCTGTTATGATCGAAAGTGCGTACAAAAATGATGATTTTTGCATTTTTTCGGAATTTTCCGACTTTCCTTTGTAATGGTCCCGAATTTTACTGAAAACTTTTCCAGGACAATAAGGAACAAAACAAAACAAGAATTACGCATATCCATCGTTCGAATCGCGAATTAGTCTTGAGTTCATACAAATATCCCATAAATAAAAGCACTTTCAATTTTTCCCCAATTTTCCGAGCAACTTCTCCAATTTTTCTTTCCCTAAAAACCTTATTGGGACTATTACGAACATTAAAAAAAATAGCCAAATCGGTCCAGTCGTTCTCAAGAGATGCACTTACTAACGAACAGCATTTAATTTTTATTTATAAAGATGTGTTGTATCCAGGGTGTCCGCAAATTTCACCAAAAATGTTTGACTGCATATTCACGACGATAAATAAATACGACCTACGAAAAAAGTTAAATAAAAAGCTTTTGGTTTTTGAGTTACAGGCCTTCAAAGTTGTTAAAAATAAAAGTAATTTAATTAATAACATCATAACCCTTTTACCGATCGCGTTAAAATTTGGTACATTTATTTGGACTATTATTGCGTATTATTTCTTAAAGTTTTAGTCAAATAGATATACTGGGTGATAGTTTTCTCCGGTTACTTCTCCCTCTTGAAATTGTCGTTTTATTTAAAAAAAAAATAGTGTTCCTTGAGGTAATCGCCTACAGAAAACCATTCTTGAGAAAAATGGCATTATTTGCTGGTATCACGGATTTAAACTTTGAATTCAGTAGGCGATGAAAACAAGTCGCAACAAGCGATGAATGTCGATTGCTGTGGCTACCAGGGAATGTCATTATTGTCGTGTTTCTTTAGGATTTTCATCACTCTACACATGCAAATTATGAAGTGTCCGCAGTGGATCAAGACAATTAAACGGAGTTGTCAATTTTCATAATTTGCATGTGTGGAGTAATGCGAATACTAAAGAAACACGAGAATAATCACATTACCACAACAATCAAGATATTGTTTTCATCGCCTACTGAACTCAAAGTTTTAAACCGAAACGTACACACATGCAAATAATGCCATTTTTCTCAAGAATGGTTTTCTGTAGGCGATTTTTTCAAGAGACAATATTTTTTTTTAAATAAAACTACCTTTCCAATGTTGCCGCCCGCTTTAAAAAATACGACAACTGTAAAAGTTTTGACCGCTAAAAGGGAGAGGTAACCTGTGAAAACTATCACCCAGTATATCGATTTGACTAAAGCTTTAAGAAATAATCGTCCAAATAAATGTACCAAATTTTAACGTGATCGGTAAAAAGGTTATGAAGTTATTAATTAAATTAGTTTTATTTTTAACAACTTTGAAGGCTTGTAACTCAAAAAATAAAAAAATTGTATTTAACTTTTTTTTCGTAGAGCGTCTTTATTTATCGTCGTGAATGTGCAGTCAAACGTTGTCGGTGAAATTTGCGGACACCGAATCCAAAATTTTGAGTAATCGGCACAAAATTGTGAAAAGCAACTTAGTGAACGCAAAAAATTCGAAAAAATTTGTGCTGAACTTGATCAAGTTGCACTGAAAAAAATGTATTTGGATCAAATGAGCAGATGGGTTTCTTATGTGCTGATCCAAACCTGGAATTTTTTAAGCTTCCCCCACCCCAGATTTTGTAAAAATCGCAAAATAATAGCCAAAAATACAAAAATAGTGAAAAATTGCAGAAAAATACGTGAGCCCAAAAAAATTCGAGAAATTTTTTTGAAGCTGAAGTATATTAGCCCCCACAGATTTAGCAAAAAACGCAAAAAATAGCCGAAAATGGCAAAAAATCATATTAATGAGAGTGAGAAAATTTAGAAAGGTACAAAAATCACAAAATATCGCAATAAAATGACTGCTATTTCATAAACATAAGAAACAGGGATTTTGTGAAACCTGATTGCTGACCCAGGATCATGGTCGAAATTTTTAGATCTAGATCACCGCATACTTTCCATTGATTGCCGAGTAGTTTATTTTCTCCAACACTATCTACAAAGCATTTTTTGCGATATTTTGCGGTTTCTGTAAAATTTTTGAGTAAAGAGGCACAACAGACTTTAGATTCAAATTCGATTCGACAAAATTTAGGAGAAGAACACTTGATCCAATCCAGAAAACCTATTTCTAAAATTTCCCCCTCTCATTAATACGATTTTTTGCCATTTCAGCTATTTTTTTGTGTTTTTTGCAAAATCTATGCGGTGATACAGCTAATAGAAGTCAGTGAATCAAAATACATAAGAAACACACTTGATCAAGGCCAGAAAAAAAATTTCGAATTATTTTTGCTCTCAGAACGTGATTATTGACGATTTTTCGCTATTATTTTACAATTTTTGCAAATTAAAAGACAGCACATCGTAATACATAAGAAACCCATTTATTTAAATTTGGAAAAAAAATTTCAAATTTTTTTACGCTTACTAATGTTGATTTTCAGCGATTTTTCACTATTTTTTGCCAATTACTCAAAATTTTGGGGGTGAATGATCTCAACGAATTCAGCAGATCAAAATAGGTACATAAAGCTTGTTGGGTCAAATCAAAGGTACAGACCATTTTTTTCTTTCGTGTGCCGGTGTCATTAATGTCTCAAAGGACTGGTTGGATTGGAAATGATTCTGACTTAGGCACTTAAAATATTCGTAATTAGTTGGACTTATCTAATTTCTTGAAAAATCACAAATGATGTTATAAATCACGACCAACTATAGTGTCTTTAAGAGCAAGTGCATTAAACATACTTTTTACAGGTGCTATTTAGTTTTCTCTGTCATAATACATACCTTTTAAGGAAATGATATTTTAAATAAACTGATGTCGTTGTTTTTAAAAGTTTGCATTAAAATATAAAGTTAAAAACATTTTATGGTGATTATAGTGATGTTTACAAAGTATCCATACCCCAGAAGCTTCAGTTTGTATACCATATGTATTGATGTACAGAGAAAATGAGTACCTTGCTAATTTTTCAGAAATTCTAAGTGTTCCAATTTGAAAAAATTATGATTGAAAAAAATTGTTAAAAAAAATGAATTAAAAGGAATAACTAAAAATATTACAAGAACTTATACTATTCTTATATGACTAGAACCAGTCCCTAAATTTTTTGCTCATTGTTTCCCAGCATCTCGCATTGTTTAAAACAAAGCTCAGACATTTTTCTCTTTTAGGAAACAACTGGGGCAATTGTCCAAACGGCACCGGCGCAGTAGGCTGCGGCCCTCAAGAGGAGTTTCGTGCATGCGCCGACATTACCATATCTGGCAAAGCTTCGGACGAACCGATGGTATCCGTGGAAGAAGAAGAGACGCCAGAACTGGTACCAGAATACGTACCAACAACCACTATAGTTCCATCCGTTCCTACTCCAGAGGAGTCCTACAACCCAATATCTGCTCTTATTATCACTCTTGTATCTTTTTTAGTAGTATTTTCGATTTTATCCCTGCTTTACTTTCATTTCTACCAAGTTGGTAAGCAAGTCAAGAACTGGATTAAGGGGCCTAGCAAGAAAACGACTCAAAACTTACCTCCCATGCCACCTCCTAGGGCAAGAAGGACTCGAAGTCCTTCTGCGAGAAGAGATAGGAGCGTTATGCATGAAATTGATCTAACTCGCGAAAGCTTAGCGTAATTTGCGTCAGAAAAAGGAAAAGGTTTAGGAAAAGGGAAAGTAAAGTAGCATAAAACCGTTTATAAATCGAAAATACTTCGAATCTGTAATGTTTGTACTGAATAATATTTATTCTACGTTTACGTTGTAAGTGCAATAATTAGTGATACGTACAATACACACTTTTATTTATAAGTCTGTTTAAATTTAAGTAGGAGGTACGTTTTAGTTTAAATATATTTATTGTTAATTTAAGAGAAGTTTGTACATACTTAAAGCAATAAAAAGACACTTTTTATCTTAAAGAGGTAGGTGTATCTTTTATGCCGCTCCACACACGACGATGCAAAACTGTTACATTTGTTCGAAGAACAAATGCGCTTCATCGAAGTCACAAAATGGCTCTGTCAGGTCAATGTGTGGCATGAAAAAATCTTATAAGCTCGATTTTGCTTATCAGGTCGCTCCTTTACTTGACCGTGTCTGACTCGATTCACGTAGGTATGAGCTCGATTTTGCGTATCAGGTTGCTCCTTTACTTGACCGTGTCTGACTCGATTCACGTAGGTATGTGTGTCAGTTTCAAATGTACTTTTTCCGTTTTTGGACTGATTTTAAAATTTNTGTTAAAGAGTATCAAAAATTATTTAAAAAAGTATCTCTTGTTGCGATACAATAAAATGAACCGTTTCTGGGAAAAACGACTTCAAACATTTTCATGTGTTAGTGAACGCAAAAAATTCGAAAAAATTTGTTCTGACTGACAAGTGTGTTTCTTATGTATTTTGAGATGCTGAATTCGAGTCTGAAGTATAATAGCCCCTACAGATTTGACAAAAAACGCAAAAAATATCCGCAAATGGCAAAAATTCATATTAATGAGAGTGAGAAAATTTAGAAAGATGCAAAAATCACAAAATATCGCAAAAAAATGCCTGCTATTTCATAAACATAAGAAAGGGGATATTTTGTGAAACCTGATTGCTCACCCAGGATCATGGTCAAAATTTTTAGATCTAGATCACCGCATACTTTCCATTGATTTCCAAGTAGTTTATTTTCTCCAACACTATCTACAAAGCATTTTTTGCGATATTTTGCGGTTTTTGTAAAATTTTTGAGTAAAGAGGCGCAACATACTTTGGATTCAAATTTGACTCGACAAAATTTATGAGAGGAACACTTGATCCAATCCAGAAAACCTATTTCTAAAATTTCTCCCTCTCATTAATATGATTTTTTGCCATTTCAGCTTTTTTTTGTGTACAGCACATCGTAATACATAAGAAACCCATTTATTTAAATGTGGAAAAAATTATTTCTAATTTTTTGACGCTTACTAATGTTGATTTTCAGCGATTTTTTACTATTTTTTGCCAATTACTAAAAATTTTGGGGGTGAATGATCTCAACGAATTCAGCAGATCAAAATAGGTACATAAAGCTTGTTGGGTCAAATCAAAGGTACAGACCATTTTTTTCTTTCGTGTGCCGGTGTCATTAATGTCTCAAAGGACTGGTTGGATTGGAAATGATTCTGACTTAGGCACTTAAAATATTCGTAATTAGTTGGACTTATCTAATTTCTTGAAAAATCACAAATGATGTTATAAATCACGACCAACTATAGTGTCTTTAAGAGCAAGTGCATTAAACATACTTTTTACAGGTGCTATTTAGTTTTCTCTGTCATAATACATACCTTTTAAGGAAATGATATTTTAAATAAACTGATGTCGTTGTTTTTAAAAGTTTGCATTAAAATATAAAGTTAAAAACATTTTATGGTGATTATAGTGATGTTTACAAAGTATCCATACCCCAGAAGCTTCAGTTTGTATACCATATGTATTGATGTACAGAGAAAATGAGTACCTTGCTAATTTTTCAGAAATTCTAAGTGTTCCAATTTGAAAAAATTATGATTGAAAAAAATTGTTACAAAAAAAATTAAATTAAAAGGAATAACTAAAAATATTACAAGAACTTATACTATTCTTATATGACTAGAATCAGTCCTTAAATTTTCTGCTTATGGTTTTCCAGCACCTCGTATTGTTTAAAACAAAGCTCAGACATTTTTCTCTTTTAGGAAACAACTGGGGCAATTGTCCAAACGGCACCGGCGCAGTAGGCTGCGGCCCTCAAGAGGAGTTTCGTGCATGCGCCGACATTACCATATCTGGCAAAGCTTCGGACGAACCGATGGTATCCGTGGAAGAAGAAGAGACGCCAGAACTGATACCAGAATACGTACCAACAACCACTATAGTTCCATCCGTTCCTACTCCAGAGGAGTCCTACAACCCAATATCTGCTCTTATTATCACTCTTGTATCTTTTTTAGTAGTATTTTCGATTTTATCCCTGCTTTACTTTCATTTCTACCAAGTTGGTAAGCAAGTCAAGAACTGGATTAAGGGGCCTAGCAAGAAAACGACTCAAAATTTACCTCCCATGCCACCTCCTAGGGCAAGAAGGACTCGAAGCCCTTCTGCGAGAAGGGATAGGAGCGTTATGCACGAAATTGATCTAACTCGCGAAAGCTTAGCGTAATTTGCGTCAGAAAAAGGAAAAGGTTTAGGAAAAGGGAAAGTAAAGTAGCATAAAACCGTTTATAAATCGAAAATACTTCGAATCTGTAATGTTTGTACTGAATAATATTTATTCTACGTTTACGTTGTAAGTGCAATAATTAGTGATACGTACAATACACACTTTTATTTATAAGTCTGCTTAAATTTAAGTAGGAGGTACGTTTTAGTTTAAATATATTTATTGTTAATTTAAGAGAAGTTTGTACATACTTAAAGCAATAAAAAGACACTTTTTATTTTAAAGAGGTAGGTGTATCTTTTATGCCGCTCCACACACGACGATGCAAAACTGTCACATTTGTTCGAAGAACAAATGCGCTTCATCGAAGTCACAAAATGGCTCTGTCAGGTCAATGTGTGGCATGAAAAAATCTTATAAGCTCGATTTTGCTTATCAGGTCGCTCCTTTACTTGACCGTGTCTGACTCGATTCACGTAGGTATGAGCTCGATTTTGCGTATCAGGTTGCTCCTTTACTTGACCATGTCTGACTCGATTCACGTAGGTATGTGTGTCAGTTTCAAATGTACTTTTTCCGTTTTTGGACTGATTTTAAAATTTAAAATTCAAAAATGGTTTAATTTATTACACAGACCCCTCCGAACGTGAATCCGCGGACAGAGTTCTGGTTCTTTTTCTAACTTAAAAAAAAAACGGGTCAGAAATCACGAATTTTCAAAAATAACAAATTCACCCCAAATTTGGTAAACGGGGGTTTTCGGGGTCGCTGATCACAGATCCGAGGTCAATTTTGCAAAATCAAGATGGCGAATCCAAGATGACCGATCATTTATCAAAAAATTACACATTCGCGCCAAATTTGGTATACGGGGGTTTTCAGGGTCACTGATCACGAATCCGAGATCAGATTTACAAAATTAGTAAGAAAAAGAACAAAATATAGACGAAAAAAGAAGGTTAAAACACGATTGGGTACTTACTGACTCGGTCGGATGTTCATAACCGTCGCGTCGGCCTGTCGCTACAGCGCATCGTACGAAACCGGTAATAACGGCAGTTATTGGCTTCGCGTTTTCTTCGTGTAAACGTGTTTTAATATTCTAATAATGTTGAACGTGCCAAGGGGTAAAAAACGACCTTTCGCTGATGAAGTACGAAAATTTATTTGTTTTTATTTATACCCACCTGTTTATTTATTTGTTTAAGATGAACACGCCTATGATGAAAACCCGAACTCTAGTGACCAAATTTGGCGAGAATGTGTTATTTTTTGAAAATTTGGGATCCGCCATCTTCAATTTTGCAAAATTGACTTCGAATTCGTGATCAGCGATCCCGGAAATCCCCGTATACCAAATGTGGCGTGTTTCTGTTATTTATTGAAATTTCATGTTATCTAACCTTAATTGACCCGTTTTGTTGAGGTTAGAAAAAGAACCATCAATTCTGACCGCGGATTCACGTTCGGCGGGTCTTAACCATATAAATAAACATTTGAATGAAGAAAACATATTTTTTTGTATTTTTCCTAGCACTTTTTGTGAATTTTTGCTTTTTTTCTGTTCTGTTTTTTGAGGTTAGGAAATTTCTGTGATCTGATAGCTCAATTTTGACAACGAATTCGTGATCAGGAGGCAAAAATACTACGGATAACCTATGTCGCATGAAAAGTACAGACAACTTTTTTTTTATGCGGCTGTGTCTTTTCAGTGTTAAGATATTATGAGAGGCTTATCGGTTATGAATAATTTATATTTTATGACCGAGATGATATGATTGCGAAAAATTATTATAGGTTTTCAAAATTTCAAGCTTTTATGTCGTTGACAGTCTCTTATATGAATTAAAGGCTTACTCATCAAAATGGTTCAGTAGAACGGGGTTCTGAGGTGGTACTTTTTCCATAAATTCCAAATTTTCTAACAAATCGGTTACAAATATATTATAGAACAACACATTCAAATGCACGGGCGTCGCATAGTAAGGAAAAATGGTACTAACAATTTACAAAAAATGTTTTTGTGTTTTTCTTCAGTATCTCGGTTGGAGCGCACTGCAAAGATCATTTTTATTTTAAATTAAATTTTGGTGTTTATGAAAAATGACTAGTGTCACTATGTTTTAGGCTTTTTGGACTGTACTTCGTTTTTCTAGTAAAACAGTTATTAAATCTAGTAGTTTATCCATATGTAAATAATTTATGTAGACATCGACTTCTTCGTGATCCACTTAATGAAGGAGGATTATTGTTAAGCGCGGTTTTCGGCTCAATTGGAAAAATTTTTAAAAGTGCATGATTTTTATAGCTTGGGGCCATATAAACAAAATTCAATCGATTTTAGCCCAAACGGATCCACACCCCACTGTCCACTGTCCTACATACCCCCCCAATAACCGACCCACATTTAACTACTAAGACAGGTAGTAATGGCAGAAAAATATCTTTAAATATAAATAATAGTAAAAATAATAAATACCTAGGGTCAGACAAGCAATATTCCGTTCATTATAGGCCAAACGAATCCAACTCCCATCTACCCATACCCATCCCCATAATTCTAATCACGTCCAACTATTGGGACAGGCAGAAATGTCAGAAAACTTAAATTGAAGCTGAGATAAATACAAACTAGGGCTCGGACAGGCAAGCTCAACCTGAATTGGTAGAGCGTAAAACTCAAACTGAACCTCTGACAAACTAAATCGAAACCTCGAACAGGGAAACT